GGCAGAGAAAGAGGGATAAAAAAAGGGAATGGGAGAACGAAATAAGGAACAAAAGAGAGAGAAAGAAACTACATATAGAGAGAAAGAAAATGAAAAGAAAGGAAAGAGAAAAATAACAGTGAGACAGACACAAAAAAGAAAGAATAAAAAATAAAAATAAGAGGAGAAAAGTCATGTCCCTGATCGTGTCGTTTTAACAAACTCAGGCCGTGGAGCTTCCCCCAGCATGTGTGACCCTGAACACTGTATACACACAAAGCGCTCCTCTCATTCCAGGTAAACTCACCTTAGTAATCTCTTCCCTGAGCTCATCTTCTGTCTGTTCCACTTCTACACACACAGGGAGAAGACAGTTACCAACATATACATAAAAAAACAGCCTTAAAGTGCACCTCTGCTTTGCTTACGCACGGCCAAGTAACAGATTTACTTTATTCAACTTGGAGTTTCAACCAATTGGCTAGCAAGTGGGCGGGACTAACAGAGGGGGAGGTTCTTCAGGTGCATTGTGCCTAATCAGTACTCTGCAAAAATATATTTGCTTTAAAATTCCTCCTGAAAATCAGCACTTCCTGTGTCTTAGCTCATAGCTGTATATCTGCACCGCTGCCTCAGGAGAGTCGGAGTGAGATTTGGTGATGTCACTCCTGTACTGATCACTGTTCTCTTTGCTGGAGAGGAAGCTGTACCTGAAGACCCGCAGTGCAAGAATCTCCCTGCTCCTGCTTCATTCATTCAGTGGATCTGTGATCTCTACACCTCATCAGATCACCATCAGGAGGACGGCTCTCACATGAGGAAGCAAAGCCCTCCTGCTCTACCAAGATGGCTGCCTTCAAACACAGGCAGTGCATGGGGAGATCGGCTGCAGGGAGCCCACAGGCAATACCGGTGATTAACCCTTTACCCTCTGTCTGCCTTATTATACCTGAAAAGTCCACGATGTGGGTTGGCACTCTTTCTGGAGTCACGTCAGCCGGTATGGTGATTTCCTCTGCTCGAGATGGAACCTAGAAACAAGAAGACTATTCTAATCACAGGAGACTCGTGTGGCGTAACCTGCATTATTTCGAGAAGCACAGAGACCCAGTGATGACATCACTGGATCTAAAATAAGGCGTGTCATGAAAGAAAGGTTTTCCTTAAAAAAAACTATAATAATAATAATATAAGCTTATTAATGATTGGGTAGGAACCAGGGAAGGCTGAATGTGCGCAGATTTGACTTCAGCGTTATCAGTTCTACGCCTACAGAATAAATAAGTCAGATGCGCGGAGATCAGTGTCCCAGTTCCCAGAATCCTCAGCAAAGGCAAACACAGACTGCAATGCACTCACCTCGTCAGGGAATTCCTCTCCCACCAGAGCCATAATCAGAGACGTCTTCCCCACTTGGGCTGCAGCAGAAAAGAGAAAAGTAATGCAGAGCTCAGATCATGTGATCTCCTCGGATATGGAGAACAATTTATTATATATCAGACTCTCCGGGTAGCGGGGACGCCGACACAAACATTGTGCCAAGTGCTCTGACAAGGAATTAATTGAGGGCCCATTCACACCACATCATCTCCAGACCAGACCGTTTCCGGACCCAAAATGCATCTCAATGGATCGCAATGCGATTTCTGTCCTCTGTTCACACCAGCGCAGTCTTTGCCAGACCAGACCAGACAAATATTGCATGTCTCATTTTGTCTGGTCTGGAATGCACTGGAACGCATCAAAAACACACCTGAAAGCCCATTTTAAACTAAGAAAAGCAAAACAAACCCCCAGCTCCGGAACGCCTCAAAGCGCGATACCCTGCGTTCCAGATCTAGTCCGGAAAGTGGTGTTACACTCCAATTTCCATAGTGACGTCTGCAAAACTAAAGGAAGCTCGACCGTCCAATGGCTGCACGTGTATCAGACTGTACAAGCTGCACCCCAAAGACTGCCAAGTCATCGATTCATGATGAGACGAAGAAACAGTGCAATCACTGCGCAGCTCTGCTAGGCAGACAATATGAGCTCATATGGGGGTTGCGTACAGAGTCCTCAATCTATTTTTCTGCAGCCCCAGCACTCAACGAACAGGAAGTTCCTGTTCATTCACAATCTGCAGATAGTAAATATTTACTGTCAACCCAGCCATGACAAACAGGACGTCTCTGTACTGAGCTGCTTCCTGTTCATTCATAAAGTGAGCAGATACTAAATATTTACTATGTACCCATTCATAAATGAACAGGACGTGATGCATAGCACTTCCTCTTCACTCATAACTGGGGACATATTAATTATGTACAAACGCTGAGTGATCAGTACAGCAAAGGATCGGTAAATATTTATCATATTGACTGATCCTGAAGCTCCGCCCCTTCTGTAGGATGTTTTTCTCCCACTGCCTCGGCATCCTCACTTCTAATGCAAGTCAATGGACCTCTATATGATGTGATGAGGTCAGTGGGGCTCAGACTGCCGGAGCCCAAGGTAGAAGAGGCTGCGAGGACCGGCCTAGCAGCCAAGTGGGACTGAGGATCAGGTGGGTATTTCTTCTTTATTGTTGCCCCTAGAGAAAAATGAGCACTTAAAGGAGAACTATGAGGTGAGTGCTTTTCACTCACCTCATAATTCTAGCCGACCTGTGACAATGAGACTGTCACAGGTCGGCTCAGTAGATCGGGAAGTGAGAGAACACGTACCGGCGTGACTGGCGGAACGGATGGGGGAGGGGCGGGTACAGCTGGCACTGCCTCTGGATAGGCAGAGCCAGCTGTCACTCACGCAGATGGGCGGATCCAGACATAATTGTGGGGATCCGTTTCAGCTGCGGCGTCTCAGTATACCGCGAGCTGTAGCGTGCGGTATACTGAGCTCAGGGTAACGCTAGTTTGTGTCCTCCCGTTACCCTAAGGAGAACTATGGGGAAAAGCCCGAACCCCATAGTTCTCTTTTAACTCTTGCCATGGGGGAGTTAACTTTTTACATTCCTGGAGTTCCACTTTAACACTCATCGGTGTGCATTGCAATGTGTATCAACACCTGCCATAATGCACGAGTGCGTCGTGGTGTGTAGTTATCTGGATATGTGCATTGATGTGCATCATAACACAGGTGCTGCAACACATTTCTATTCATCTCAATGGTGCTCACATGAAGCAAGATGCAAATACAGTCGGAGACGTGGGCTGGAATCACAGCTTTGTGGTTGTTCTTAATGTGTTTTCCATTGAAATCGATGGAAAGGCGTGTCATGGCCGACACTCACATGTTATAACACACGCAAAAGGTATCATGACATTATGATATGCGTTGACATCCAATACAAAGTGCATTGGAAAGCACAACGCATGTTAATACCAATTACTGATACTTTTTTTATTTTTGCGTCATGTGACAGTTTTTCTAAAACAATAAAGACTAATGATTTCAGGACAATGGTGGAGCTCCAGGGCCCAGTCACAGCTGTAACTTTTGCGACTCTGATAATTCTGCCACTGACTCCAAGCTGTAGAGGGACTACAAATCCCAGCAATACATTATATAGCAATGCAGAATGATGGAAGGACCTCATGGCAGCCACTTCAATTTAAGAATTTAAAGTGCCAGTACAGGTTTTGGGTACCAGGGCAGTATCAGCACCAATACTGGGGCAACACTAATCTCAATGGAAAACACCATCAGGGGAAAGGAATAGATATGAATCCAGCCTTGAGGGAGGGGGAAGAGACATTTAAAGCAGTCGTTCTCAACCTGTGTAACCTCGGGACCCACATGTTTCCTTGGTCATTAAGGCAAGATGGGCCGGTCTATGCAGACATGACGCCGCGACCCAGTGGGTCGCGACCCACGAGTTGAGAACCACTGATTTAAAGGGTTTCCTGTATCTTATAAAATGTATCCTTCCATCAGAAGATACATCTATGCAATGTAACAATGTATCCTTCATACAATGCTCAGCTCTGTGTGCGGAGCCTTCAATCATCGCTCCGTCCTCCACCATGGACCATTCCTCAGTTCGTGAATCGCTGCCACCTTGCCAGACACCAAACATTTCATATTGTGGTTACAACTAGAAATCCCTTTATTGTGTCTCCTCCTCCCAGCATGCCCCATGTTGCTCACCCTCTGCAGGGTCTGGAATGTCACCTGACACACTTATGTTGTTACCCCTAGCGACCAGCATGTTGATTACAAAACACACACACGCTCCTGGCCGGTTGCTACGAGCAACACGTCCTCCTCCAGGAATGACCCCGGAGGGTGAGTCAGGTAGAGGCAGCACCTGTCAGAGGTGACATTGACTCTCTCCCCACACTGCTGGCGAGGATAAATATGACTCCGGAGCGCCCCCCATCCCCCTAAGCACTTGAGCCTCACCCTCCCCCAGGAGGAGGATCCTCACGTCCCGCTTCATGGCTCCGGTGCCTCCAACACCGCCGACTTCCGGGTGCCCAGGCGGACAGCCAGCAAGAGAGCCCCGCCACTTCCGGCGTCCCTCCACCAGCGGCGCGTCACATCCGGCCCCCTCCCCTTCGATGCCTGGCTTCTGCTTGCCATAGCAACGTTGGGGGTGGGCGGGGCCGCTACCTGGTTGGGAGCACGTAGGAGCCACAGCGGGAATGGGCGCCGTCCTGTCATGTGACCTGCGCGGGTGCGCTCTCCTCGCATTTTAGTGTCGGAGAGAGCCTGTTGCCCATGGCAACCAATCAGTTCCTTGCCGCGCCTATTAACATGTAGGGATGTGACTGGTTGCCATGGGCCACCTACCCATCACACTATGGGGAGCACTTAAATGAGCAGTCCCGGTGCTTGCTTGGTGCTAAACAAGCAGAGTGGCTGTTGCCTATAGCAGTTTAAGGTTGGATTTCAGCTACTTGCTATGGACAATGCAGCAGTCATGGGGGTTGGAGCACTCACAGTTCTTCCTGGGGGCGGAAACCAAGTGATCCATACGCATTAAAAATACATAAAATGAGGGGAAGTTATCAAAACTGCAGCAGACAAAAGCTGGAGCAGATTTGCACGGCCACCAATCAGCTTTTCTGTCGCATTTTCAAATCTCACACAAGCAAACTGAAGAGAGAAGCTGATTGGTTGCCATGGGCAACTGCTCCAGACTGTGTTTTTGTTTTCTTTTTGAGACCTTTGGGTTAATGCTGCGTTAAAAAATGCAATTGGTTGAATTTTTATTTAGTTATTTGCATTGGAGCCTGCAAAGCATTGAAACCGCCATGGCAGGTGCAATGCTCTGGGCTCCTGCAGACCCTTCCTCCCATCCCTGTCCACACCCAAGGTAAGGACTCATTTTTTTTTTTCGAAGCCCGTGGACGTGCATCAAAACTTCCCCTGTGAACAAAAAAAGTGAACCGTGAAATCACAGCACACAAAAACGTGCACAAGGGTGCTTGGTCCTTCAAAAGAAGAGACCTACTTTCCCGACCCCCGGGGCGCAAGGCTCCTGACGGGTTGAGACTGTTGGGCCACCAACCCAAAGGCCGGTGGACCCATTTCCTTCGGGGACCTGCCGAAACAGGTCCCTCACAGTACTAGGCAGGTGGGCTCTCCCGAAGAGAGACCCACCTCCTGGGTGGGAGGAGACAGAGAACCCCGTAGGAGGCACAGAATCTCCTCCCAGCATATGGAATAGGCCCCGAAGAAACCTGCACCTTCAGCAATCTGTGGGTCAAAATTTATAATAAAAAAGTGCCAATCGTGCATAGAGTGCTTTAAATAAATCTAAAGTGCCAGTGCACCACTCTGACAGGCCTTAGGGGCCGGAGTGCAAAAATATTGCCCCAGACTAGTCATAAGGCCTGTCTTGGAGGCGAAGTGCAGACAATTGCAATGTGGTGTGTGACCAAGTGCACAGTGAGTCATGTGGGGTCCCATACCCAACTGACTTTCTGCACACCCCTGGGATGCCACCCCCAGGGGGCACAACACCACAGGCTTCTGCCGCCCCCAACCCTCTAGCCTCGACCAAGCTTCGTATCCATTCGTATCAGGAGGCAGGACGCCTTCAGAGCCTCCGCCTACAACTGGGGACAAGCCCAGCGTAACCGGACCAGAATCAACCCAAGAGGAAGGAGGCCCCTCCGGTACCCACCAATTACATCAGGGAATACCGAGCATCCTGCCTATCCAACGACATGATGCCTTTCTTCCCCGAAGACTGATAAGAACAGATACTACACTTGATCTTAGCCAAAAGGCCGAGAAGCGTGGGGTAGAGAGAGCGCCAGAGCGCGAGGGGAAGAGAGAGCGCGAGGGGAAGAGAGAGCGCGAGGGGAAGAGAGAGCGCGAGGGGGAAGAGAGAGAGCGCGAGGGGGAAGAGAGAGGGCGCGAGGGGGAAGAGAGAGGGCGCGAGGGGGAAGAGAGAGGGCGCGAGGGGGAAGAGAGAGCGCCAGAGCGTGAGGGGTAGAGAGAGCGTGAGAGCGCAAGGGGAAGAGAGAGCGCAAGAGAAAAAGGGGAAGAGAGAGAAAGAGATATTATAATGTCTGGGGCAGGTGGGCAGAGCTGGGAACCCAGGTGCCAACATTCCAGCACAGGAGCCCCCAAGAATTATCCAACCAGCTGAAATCTAATCCAGAACGTCACAGGCGATTTTCGGTGGACCGACCCCCAATGTTAGACTGACACTACGGTGGAGTTGTACTGTGTGATAAGACATGTCTGTATAGGCTCCGAGACCCCCCTCAGGTGCTGTATAGTAACATCTACACTCTGATGGCATTCTAAATCCCGGACGCTGTGCGGGGCCAGTTAGGACAAGTCCAGGAGCTTGAACATCACGAAATATAACTCAAGAGAACGTAATGAAAACAAAACTCCAGAGACGTGTAACTTTTTTTTTCTTTAAAAGTTAAACATAATAAAATAGAACAGCTTTAAAAGTTTCCATTAAAATGTGCAAATAAAAATTTAAATAAAGTTGTTGACAAACAAGTTTTTACAACCTATGTACAGAAGGCACTTGTATGAGTAAATGATTGGTCTCGCCGATGTGTTGGCATCACAAATATGTTCTCTGTTCATTAGAAAGAAAAAAACCAATAAAACCCAATAAGATTTCATGCATGTTTTTGCTGTGTGGGAAAGCGTGCCCCCGCCCCGTGGTTTCACCTGCCGGCTGCTCCTACATCACTATAGGAGAGAACAGTGATGTGAAACCAAGAGACAGAGGTCTGTCGCCGCCCACCACACAAGTATTATCTCTCCTTTAAGAGGGTGGCTCTATTTCTGATTGGCTGCTGTGTCACAGATGGTGTTCCAGTCCAGTGACAGAGGATGCCATTGGCCAACTTCCAAAGAAGCAGTGCTAGCTCAGTGGCAAACGTGATGCCCTAGTGGTCTGCTCTGCCACCACTTGCAGGAGATGGGCAGTGATATAGTAGAAAGGTGAGAGTGTCACAGATTATTTGGCAAGTCCAGTAGGTCTTTATTGGCCATCATAAAAAGTCATAGATGAATCCGACACGTTTCTGGGGATCGTCGGTCCCACTTCATCTTGGCTTGTGGTGAAGAAAATAGGATTGTACACAGAGGACAAAGCTGAAACATGAAGCACTACCCAGGACAGGAACCACTCTACTTCTCTTGCCGGGGCAACACTACAGGATCCTACCTGATGATTTATGTACGCCACCCACCATGGTGTTGTCCATCTGAATCGGATGACCAGTACGTTGGTCCAACATTGCAGAGACAGCCAAGTCACCCATAGGTCTAGGATATTGATTGGGAGATGAGACTCCTCCGACAACCAATAGGGTGCCCAGGACTCCTCCACAGTCTGTTGGCACCGGACGTGAGGATCCTCCAAATGTCAGGCTGAGGATGACCACGCTGGCTAGCTGCAATCAGACAGAGAGGAGTCCTTGAAGAAAAAAAAGGTGCAATATAATAAGTTAGACTTTACCACAGCAGAGCTGCAGAAAAGTCTAACATGGTCCTAGGACACCAGCAGAAAAGTCTAACCTGGTCCTAGAACACCAGCAGAAAAGTCTAACCTGGTCCTAGGACACCAGCAGAAAAGCCTAACCTGATCCTTGGACACCAGCAGGAAGCAGCGGCACGCTGGTAGTCGGAGGGGAAAACCCAACAGATAAATGGCTGTAGGTCGCTGTAGACAGCAGCAAGGATCGACAGAGTTGTGAACCGAGTGTCTACTGCAGATAGGAGCAATGGCGTGGTTATACCCTGGGCTGGCCTACAGTTTTCTTTTTTGTGTCCAATGCTCCTTTAGGCGGCAGTATAACCTAAAAGGTTTGAAATGTCTTGTGTCCACAATGGAAAAGGAAGGTGGAAAAAAATGCTTTATTAGACCAGAGAAGACTGTTTGTATGCAATGTAGAGTATGCATAGAAGGTCTAGCCCAGGTTGCCGGTCTAACAGCACATTAGACCTGAATGATCAGTCTGCCCTGGACTAGTGAAGCATTAAGCCTCTTTCTTCACCACAAGCCCTGGTAAGGGGGTCCGGTGATCCCCGGAAATGCGTTGGATACTTTTATGAGTTTTTATTGAATCAAATAAAGACCTTTTGGACCTGGCGCTCTCAGCTTTCTACACTACTCATCATTTGGAGGAATTTGTTGGACCCACCAGCTTCTAGAGAGTCGCCTCTGCTCCCGAACAGAGGACATTTCTTCAGAATTGGTGCTTAGTGCTCCACCATGACTTCCACTTCAGGAGTTGGGCAGTGGCAGAGAGTTGGACGGGACCTTCAGCTCTGATAGGCAACAGCTGGGCAGTCAGGTCTCCTTTAACCAGCCATGGATGTTCAGAGACATGATAAAATTGATGGGTTCCCATGCCTCGTACTCCTGCAGTTTTACGCATGCTGCCTATAATCTTGTTCTTCCTACCTGCAAAAATATGCCCAGTTTAGGTATTTTAAGGTGACCCAATGGAGAAGGTTAGAACAGGTCAGGTTTGCATTGTGGTGTCTACGTCAGGACAAGAACACTTTCCAATAGGCGAAAATGCATTCTTAGAGTGCGGGAAGGGTTAACATTTCTGACAATGGTTATATTGCTGTCCGTATCTTCCTGTTCCGGGTGACCTCCACCCCCTCTATTTCTTGTATGGGTGTCATAGGGACAGGAAGTGAGGGAACATTTCCCCCAGGCAGAAATAAAGACTTGACGGAAATTGTCGCTCACCTCTTCCCACACTCTATCCATTCCTGGGCTTTAACACAAGTCAGAATTTCTACATTTTCCTGCCAGGCTACAGAGATTGATAATTAGAAACTAACAGCCCCAATTGACTCCTATAGCTTCCTTCAATACACCCAGAGTGGCTGCAGCTCCTGAGGATGGCTAAGGGCCCATTCACAGCAATCCGGTCCCACCTATGGGTGACTACTGCACCTCCAGTAAAGGAAAAGGACACTGGAAGTATACAAAGTGAAGACACCCACAGCAGCCAATCACAAAGTCCTCTTCTGCCCACACGCCCTCTAAAACTAAAGTCTGATTGGATGACAAGGATTGCTGCCACAACTGCGCACTGTTCC